TGGTGGTGGGAGGTGAATTTCAGTAAGTGGGAGGTGCCAGATGCTAACGTGTATCCTGTCTTGAAGAGGGCAAGTACTTCTGGTCCCAGCTTTAGTTACCAGTTAATCTGGTGAGAGTGATGGGTTTGATTAGCATTTTTTCAGGCAGAGTACAAATGGGGCCAGAATGGGAATGGCCATCGAATGGCTATCCGATTTAAGGTTGACATAGCTGTCATCCTGAAGGTGGTGTGATATGTACGTCGTGACTTGGTTCTCCCACCCCATTCTATTTATAGGTAACATGCTTAGTCAATCCTTTTTATCTATGTTCAACACACCTATGTTTCATTTATTTGATTGACGATTAACACGTTTCACAGGTATCTAACTTGCTGTCTATATTTAACACTCCCTACGAGCTTTATTCATCCCACTTGTTTTTCTTGTTCTCTCTAGAAGAATTGAATATTCCTAAATAATATAGCAAGCACATTATAGTGGTTGCATGTGCCAGTACAATATTCAGTATAGATTCTCCTTAATTGGCTTTCATTGGTTGCTTTTTTTTTTTTTTTTTAAATTTTTTTTTTCAACGTTTATTTATTTTTGGGACAGAGAGAGACAGAGCATGAACGGGGGAGGGGCAGAGAGAGAGGGAGACACAGAATCGGAAACAGGCTCCAGGCTCTGAGCCATCAGCCCAGAGCCCGACGCTGGGCTCGAACTCACGGACCGCGAGATCGTGACCTGGCTGAAGTCGGACGCTTAACCGACTGCGCCACCCAGGCGCCCCTCATTGGTTGCTTTTTTAAACCTAGGGGGAGAAAACCCATTTACTGCGAAGTAGGTGACCTATCACTGGTTCCAGTAATTGACAACTTTACATTTATGTTGATTTGGAAAATCAGAGGAGAGAAATTGTAGAATCTAGTTGTTTCATGTGTAGAAAACACCTTCAGTACCCTCTTTTGCCAGGTGACTATTCATTTCCATGAATAGAAATGGAATGTTGAGGCCTGGGAAGAACTTGAACTCCCTGATCTCTAGTCATCTCAGTTTTCAGATAGGGAGTGTGAGACTCAGAGGGGTAAAGTGCCTTATCCAAGGTCACATAGCTAGTTATCTATAAAACTTGGTAGTCTTTAGTCTCTTGAAAACTGGTTTAGTGTTCTTATATGTTGTAATAAGTGAGATTACGTTCTGGTGTTCTTTTAGCAGCTGAATTATGGTAAGCATTTACTTGAGAGAGCTTTTCTGAAAATGAGAATGCACATAAAGTCTCAATGTTTGAAAATAGATGATTTTCTTTACATTTCACTCTGATGAGTGCTAACGGGGTATCTCTGTTTCAGTGTGCCAGTCATTTACAAAAAGAAGTGAGAAGCTGGCAGAGGAAATGCTCAGTTCTGTAGGAGGGTTGGGTGAGCAGCAGTGTGGTTGAGTTGGATTAGACCGTTAGATGGGGTGTCCTATAAATGGGAGGGGTCGAATTGGCACCGAAAGTGATTTTCTTTAATTTGATAGCCACTGACATTTGATAAGTGTCCATTTATCTTCTCCTTTTCCAAAGGGTATCTTATTGGTTTCTGACTGTAATATTTGTGGTTGCTTGACATAATAATAGAAATTATAAAGATAAAATAGAAAATAAATCCAATAAGTCTGTATTGGATGCCTGTTTCATGCCAGGCACGGAGAACTGTGGATACAACAATGAATGAATGACTGTGCCTGTCCTTGTGGAGCTTCTAGTCTAGAGGGGAAAGAAAATATGGTAAAAAAAGATCATGAGTAATAGAAGGGAAAAATGGATCATAATAATTAAGTGGTATGGAGAAAATAACCAGAGAGGTGTGTTCGATATTAAAGGAGAACCTGCTTTGGAGGGAATGACCAGCAGGTTGAAATCGCAGTAGGAGCTAAAGGAGCCAGGCATGGGAAGGGTTGGGGGAGGAGCTCTGTGGGGAAAAGGGAAGAGTAGCACAAAGACCCTGAGGCAGGACTGGGCTTGGGTATGAAAGAAGAGTATGGAATTGGGTGGGGGAGTTTGGCAAGAGTCAATTGGTGTGCGACCTTGCAGGCCATGCTAAAAAGCCTGGATTTTTATCCTGGGAGGACTGGGAAGCCATGGAAGGGTTTTTAGCAAGAGCCTGAAAGGATGCTCATCTAAGCTTTAAGATGAACCTTTGGGCTGCTGTGTAGAATGGAGAAGAGAAGGCAATAGAAGCAGGGAGACCAGTTAGGAAGCTGTTGGAGGTGCCCCACTAAGAGAGGGTGGCAGCTTAGGTAAGAGTTTCAGAGCGGATTTGGGTGAAGGTGGATGGATTCCAGACATGGGAGACCTCACAATTTGCTCTTGAGTAGGATCTGGAGGGTGGAAGGAAGGGAAGACTCTGGGACAAGTTCTGGTTTTTGTGGCTTGAACTGAGAGGTCCCATTTGCTAAGAGTGGGAAGTCCAAGAGAAAATAGAGGGTTGGTGGCGGGGGCAAATAACAAGAGCTCTGTCATAGGTATATAAATTCTGAAATGCTTATTAGACCTTCATGTGGAGATATTAAGGATATTGAAGATGTATCTGTAGCTTAAGGGAGAGGTTGGGATGGCACATAGACACACTGCAGTGTCATTGGCCAGTGGTGCTGGGATGATGTCTGAGAGAATGGAGTGACGGGTGAGGACACTCGCCAGTGATAGGCCTGCTGGGGGAAAGTGTTATGACTATCATGCTGCTTGAATGTTGCTCACTTTGCACTGGACTCAAGCTTTAGAATCCTCTAATGAGCTCTCTGGGCCAACACTGCCAACCAGCTAATTCCTTATAGATGAATACAGAAGGAAATAGCAAAAAGGGAAAAAAAGGAAGATGTAAGTTAATCTCAGATGTGTTTTTTTTTTCTTCCTGCACTAAATTCTAGGTGGAATTCATTAGGATTTTTACCCAGCAGTAATAAAAACGTTAACAAACATTTGCTAACGATCTCTAGTTTACAAAGTGATGAGTTCATATGTTTTAATAGATCGCGAATATTATCTTGCCAAGTCTTCGGCTGGGATTTTGGAGAAGGTATAGAAGCATTCCCTAAGTGGCTCTTATTTCTACCCTTGACAAAAGTTGAAAGCTTGCCACTTGACAGCACAGTAGTGAAGGACTTTCTTTGGGTAGGAAAGCAAATATCCAGGTGGGTTTTATCTTGGTAGGGTGCTGTGCCTGGGTTAGGTGCCCCCACTCTGGAGGACCAACCATGCTTCTCACCTTGCAAAGCTGACTTCTACAGCTTGAAGATGGTGCTGTTCTTTGCTGCAAACTTCAAACAGCAACTTGTAGAATTACACCGGAATGGAGAGACCCTGAGAAATGACCTAGTTCACCATCTCCCCCATTTTGTAGATGAGGAGACTGAGGCCGAAGGTCAGGTACTTGAGGATTTTTTTTCTGTTGGAAGCCACTCTTTTTATTTTATTTTCTTTTTTAACCTTATAGTAAAGCTTGTGCTATAAAGAAGGAGGGGGCAGAGGCAGAGAGAGAGAATCTTAAAAGGGCTCCATGCTGAGCAAGCTCCCCCAGTGTGGGGCTTGATCCCACAACTCTGGGATCGTGACCTGAGCTGAAATGAGGAGCCAGATGCCCAACTGACTGAGCCATCCAGGCACCCCAGAAGCCCTGCTTTTAGGATGAGGGTCTTCAAGGTCCATATAGTCTGTGATGTAGCTTGGGCAACACAGCTTTTGAAGATCTTTCTTTTTCAGACTCTTGGAGAAGTAACCAAGGAGTTCCCCCAAAGAGGATGTGTTCAGGGCATGAGTAAAGGCCACCAAACATGCCTTTGGTATCCCTTTGTTGTCTCTGAATAGTTTGCTCTAATTCTGTTCTGTTGGTGGCCAGTTTCTGATTTGAGGAAGTATAGTGTAAAATAATGAGAGTGCATAGTTTATCGTGATAAGGGAGAGTCTGAGTATGAAATGATGAATTGTCTTATCATGCAGAATTTGTAGAATTCCTGGCCAGGAGCAGTATTAGCTGGATTCCCGTATCTCTAAGCCTGCTGAATTGACCTCAACTTCAATATTTCATGAGCAGGGTCATCCACTCCATGTTTACGGAGAAATTCCAGGCACGCTTATGGATCATGAACATGCCTTGTATTCTTCAAGCAAAAATGGAGATGTCTGGCATTATTAACACTTGTAAATCTCTGCTGGGTACAAAACAAGGACAGGTTTCCCTCTACAAATTGTAGAGCAAAAGAAATGGAGTCCCCTGGGAAAAGTGAAATTGGAAGCTGCTGAGTGGCATTTGGATCCAAAACACTGAATTCTGTGAATTTAGGATCCACTTATTTGTCTCTCACTTTTTTTTTTAAATTTTTAATATTTATTTGGAGAGAAAGAGCGAGCAAGGAAGAGTGAGTGAGTATGAGCAGGGGAGGGGCAGAGAGAGAGAGAGAGAGACAGAATCTGAAGCAGACTCCAGGCTCTGAACTGTCAGCACAAAGCCTGATGTGGGGCTCGAACCCATGAACTGTGAGATCATGACCTGAGCCGAAGTCAGACGCTTTATCTACTGAGCGGCCTAGGCGCCCCTATCTCTCACCTTTGTTTTTGTTTTTGTTTTTTTGTTTTTTGTTTTTTAACAGCAACTTCATCTGTTTGTAGCAGGCCACATTGCCCAGTGTCCTGTCAAAATTTGTCAGAAAATCATTGGCTGACCAATTGTGAACTTGTCCAAGTGACAAGGGGGTACAGTGACAGAGGTGGCATTTCTGGGTTTTGCATTGAATGAATGCTGCTGTATGAAATGGTGGATGGTACCTGAAAACAAAGTATTGGTGAGTGGTGGGGTTGCGGTGGGGGCAGGGGAGGATGATAGATATGATATGGATCCTGTGGACATTTTTAACTGCATCTTTTCTCTTCTCTTTTTCCCTCTTCTTCTTCTTCTTCTTCTTCTGTATTCCTTCATTCTCCTCCTTGTTCTCTTGGTACCTGTCTGTTTCTGTTTTTCCTTCCTGACTCCTAGAAACAGAAAGAGAGATCCATGCAGCCCCTCATGTGAGTGAGAAGTTAATCCAGCTGTTCCGGAATAAGAGCGAATTCACCTTTTTGGCCACTGTACAGCAAAAGCCATCGACTTCAGGAGTGATCCTCTCCATTCGAGAGCTAGAACACAGGTAAGCTGTACTTTTGCAAATGTATTTACAATTGATGGACTATACAACATGCCTTGGAATTTGGACGTTGTATCCTTGAGAGCATGCCCCTAGCTGAGGCCTTGTTGCTGTTGAACACATTGGTAGATTGTCTTTGCGCTAACAACTTACCTTTGGCAAAGAGGTTTTCTTGTTAACTCTCCAAAGACCACTCATGAGTGTCTTTCTCGCCTATCTTCTGTCTTCTGGTAGTCTTTGCTCCTATGAAACCACATTCTGTGTCCTCTTGAAGTCTTTAAAAAAGTCCTATTTAACAACCTTCAATGAGCATTATTGTGTGTTTACTCTATGCAGGAACTGTGCTGGACACAGGAATACTAAGGCAAATAATCCAGAATTTCTATTCTAAGGATCACATAAGCTAGTAGGGAAGATGGACAGATGTCATGAAGTATTGTAGCAATATGTGTTTAAGGAATAAAGGTATTAATGGTCAATTCTGAAGGGTCATGGTAAGCTAAGGAAGCCTTCAGAAAGGATTGTGGTTGTATAAATAAAGGTGACTATTGGGCAGGCTGAAGGAGAAGGAGTAAGGGATGGGCAGACAACATTCCAGAAATTGGTTGCTATGATTTTGGGAAGGAAAAAGGGGGTGGGGTCAGTGGTTGGCACATTGTGTGTGTTGGGGAAGCTGAGGAGTTTGGGGTGGGCAGTGAGGGGTGGTACTCTAGAGGTAGGTAGAAGCTAGATCATCTCAAAGCTTTGAGGCCATGTTGAAAATTTGGACTAAAGTCTCTATAGATAGTGGGAACCACATAAGGGTTTTAAGTTTGAGGAAAGAGGATTCTGTTTTAGGAGTTTAAAGTAATGATAATCTAAGACAAGTATAGAAGCTTCCTGAGAGAGATCGGTGAGTTGTAGCCAAGGAGAGGGCAAAGACTGTCCATCAGCCTCCACTCTCTGAAGGCTTCCTCCATAGGTCTCTAAAGTGTGCCAATCCAGAAGCCCGCCCCCAGGCCAAAGCACCTGGGCAAACAAATGGGCCTCTTTTACAGAGAGACTTGGCAGCATATTTCCGTCTGCCCACCTCTCTCCCATTGTTTAAGTCCCCTGGGACCTGGGAATGCAAACTTCCTGTGGGTTTTAGAACCAGGTGATCAAGTAGTGTCCCCTGAGCAGCGGCCACAAAAAAACTCAGGCACCAGATGAGTGTAAAAGCTCCCTTCTGGGAGAGGGTGGTGCTCAGGAATGTGGCAGAGGGAGGTGTGAAGCGGCACTCGTTGGCTGGAGCACAGCAGAGGAGGAGAGTGAGGATGGCACCCCCTAGTCGTGGTCCTGGAGAGTATTCCCACAGGCTCCTGGATGTGTTAAATTAGATGCCAGCCCCTCAGGGCAATGCTTCAATATACGCGAATGAGCTGCTTTTCCTCAAAGTCTGGGCAGATCAGCTGCCTCTGAGCTGGGCCCCGACCTCATGAGTCTGAGTGCAGGAGCCCTTCAAGAGCAGTTTCTCAGATCATAACAGCTTTGGGGGCTTGTGGACATGGGGGCTTGTCTCAGAAGTACAGGTCTCAAAAGCCAGGCTTCCCAATGTGGAGTTCAAACCCTTAGCCCCTACGGTAGAAGCTCTGGGTTTTGAGTTCCCTCCTGGTTGTGGGTCTCCATGCCAAGGGTAGGGTTTATAGTGAGGTTGTGTCCCAGCCTCTCCTACCTGCTTCCATGTGGATGCTTTTTTCCTTATTTGCTCACTGAGCTCGGCTGGACTTCGGTTTTTTTCCAGAAGAAATTGTTGCATAAGTAGCTGTAGACTCCGAATGTCTGTGGGAAGAATTGAATTCAGGATCTTCCTGTGGCACCATCTTGAATTTGAGCCTCCTGGCCAATTTTAGTTTTTAATACTAACTTTAGTAGTCCACAGCCTACGTGTACCCGTGGGCTTGGATACCAGGGAACAGTGAAGCCTGTGACTGAGAACCTGTCCAGGGAGGTGGGAGGTAGAGCTTCCCAGGAACAGAAGCTCCCAGCCCATTGAGTGTTCCATCCTCTCTTGGGACTTGATTTACAAAACACAAAGTCAAAGGCAAAGTTACCAAGAATTTCCAGATGGTGATGGCACAGTGGAACCCTTCAGAGTGTAGGATCTTGTGCAACCCACTGGTCACATGCTGTGAAGCTGCCCTACCTACCTTGCAGCAGACATGGTAGGTACCCTCCCCTCAGATCTCTTGTAGGTTCTCTGTGCCCTTTGCCTGGTTTTTATGGGCTTTGCTTCTGAAGGCTGGCATTTAACTTTCCTCAGAGCACTGCCTGTTGGCCTCTGTAGCCACTACACAGAGAACAGAAGTGTCTTGGAGTTCATTTATCCCCCAGGCAGCCTGTAGTCTATGATTGACAGAGTGTAGGAGTTGGAAGCCTTGTTCCCTTGCTTTGGAGGCCTTAAGGCCAGACCAGTTCTGACGTTTGAATCCTCAAGTGCTACCTGGAATGGAGGTAGGTTGAAGCTTCCATGTCTGCTCCTTCTGTCCTTACCCTCCTCTCCTGGGAGCATTTCCTTGAAGTGCTGAAATCACTTGCTCCCAAATTCACACAGAGATCACACAGAGTGATGGCTCGGGAAGATCACACAGAGTGATGGCTCTGGGAAGGGCCAGAATTCTGGCAGGTCAGGGAAACAGAAGGATGTATTAAACAGGAAGAACAGTGTGGGCAGCTACAGGAGAAATGTAGGAAAATGGAACTTTTGGGGGCAGGGTGGAGAGGTGCAGGGAATGGACCAATTTTGCTGGAGCAGAGGGTCTCCATGTACATCTTCAGCAGAGGTGAGGACCAAAAGTTCTCTTTTCAATCGTTGAGTTCGATCTCAGCCTCAAAGGGATGTGATGGACCCTGCTCCTTCTTCTGAAGGGATGTTGTCAGCGTAATAAATTGGCTGTTTGTGGGTCAGCCCAGAGAAAGAGAGGTAGCATGTGTTGGACAGGAGGTATGGCTTCGAGGCCAAGTGTGGTATAGATTAGGAGGAAGTATAGGTTCTTGTCACTCAAAGGTGGAGGCGTCAAGCCAGTGTCGGCTTCACAGACATGAAAGGGTGACATGCTTGTTCCATTGGGGCAACGTAGTGGAGTTGGGGGTGAGGGCTGCCTCAGTATGAGGGCCATCTAAGTGTCTGAGAGTGGAATGTAGAGTCTTTATTCTCAATTAAAGCAGAGGGGGGATCTTCCCAAAGACAGGTGAGAAGGAAGTGGAATGGCCAACCATTGTAGAAAGAGCAGACCTCAGAGTTGGAGTGATGGAGACTGGAGGTTCAGGCTCTTCGGCACTGTTTCATGTCTCAGCTTAGTTTCCTGGTCAGAAAAAGGGAGGTGGTCATCTACTTTGCAGGTTGCTGTAAGGTGAAAGATGATTGTGCACGTGAAGTGGCCTGCTCTTAATAAATACACATTTCTTCTTGTCTAAGCAAAAAATTTAAAGCTACTTTCAGGGTTTTTCTCTTCTGAAATCTTCAAAAAAATTTTTTTTAATGTTTATTTATTTTTGAGAGAGATGGAGACAGAATGCGAGTGGGTTAGGGGCAGAGAGAGAGGGAAACACAGAATCCGAAGCAGGCTCCAGGCTCTGAGCTGTCAGCACAGAGCCTGATGTGGGGCTTGAACTCACAAGCTGTGAGATCATGACCTGAGCCAAAGTTGGACTCTCAACCGACTGAGCCACCCAGGGTGCCCCTCTTTTGAAATCTTAAAAAAAAATTTTTTTTTAACATTTATTTATTTTTGAGACAGAGACAGAGCATGAACAGGGGAGGGTCAGAGAGAGGGAGACACAGAATCTGAAACAGGCTCCAGGCTCTGAGCGGTCAGCACAGAGCCCGATGCGGGGCTCGAACCCACGGACCGCGAGATCATGATCTGAGCTGAAGTCGGACACTCAACCGACTGAGCCACCCAGGTGCCCCTGAAATCTTTTAAAAAACAGAACTCCTTTTAGTAAAGGTTTAAAAAAAACCCCAAATCCAAAAACTTGTGTTGCCACAGAGTCCTCTGATGCCACCTTCTCTTCCCTAGCAGGTTTCTAATAGAACCTGAGGATCATTGAATAGAGAATCATCTGATCATTTTTCATTGTACTAGGAAAACCTCAGGTCTTGACTGAAAAACAATAAACATGCAGATATAGAACATTCCCCTCCCCTTTGGAGTTCTGTGGTGCCTTCTTCCATGTTTGGTCTAATCAAGGCAAAGTATAAAGAATTGGAGGGGTGCCTGGGTGGCTCAGTTGGATAAGCATCTGACTTTGGCTCAGATCATGATCTCATGGTCCATGGGTTTGAGCCCTGCATCGGGCTCTGTGCTGACAGCTCAGAGCCTGAAGCCTGCCTCAGATTCTGTGTCTCACTCTCTGTCTCTCTCTACTTCCCAACCTGCCCCCTGCTTGTACTCTGTTTCTGTGTCTCAAAAATAAATAAATATTAAAAATAATAATAAAAAAAAAAACCAATTGGCTGAATTGGGGCACCTGGATGTCTCAGTCAGTTAAGAATTTGGCTCTTGATTTTGGCTCAGGGCATGATCGAATGGTAGGTGAGATCGAGGCCTGTGTCATTGACCCCTGTATTGGGCTGTGCGCTGACAGCATGGAGCCATCTTGGATTCTCTCTTTGCCTCTCTCCCCTGCTCGCATTCTCCCCACACCCCCAAATAAATAAACAAACATAAAAAAGAGAGAATTGACTGAATCTGTAATATACTGGTTATGGGTAATAAAGAAGACCTGGTTTCCACCCTTAAAGAGATATTCATCCAATTAAGGAGATCTGTGGTATGGAAGAGGAACATACGATAGTATATTTTTAGGAATTAGGCAATTTGAAGCCAGCAATGTTCCCATCTATAATAGAGAATTTTCAATCATTTTTCAGGTTTCTTATTGTTTACCAGGATAACTGTGTCTAGAGAAGCAAATTGTCTTGGAGACATTTGTCATGGATATCTGACCAGGTGTAAATGATGACCAAGATTTTGAGGTTT